GGTTAACGTTACATCAGTGGAGGATTTGGACGAAGAAACAGGAGCTGTCTCAACCTGAAAATCCAAAACGAAATAAAGGTAAATTCACTTATAGAGAAATAATGGCTCGATACATAAATCATATACTTACGTTTCTCGCCACAATTTGTTCATCTTCATCAGGTTTCTGCAAAAATCAACAAGCATGGCGATTTAATAGCTGAATCTGCATAATAATAGACCTCGTAATAATAGAGACCTTAAGTGGATATGAACCGCATAAACTGACCTCAAATTTCTCCTGATTTGCTTTGCTCTGTGAACAAGGCGTCATGCTCTTACCTAATAGAAAAGGACAGAACATTAAAGATAAAAATCAAGATAAAACATTCCATCTAACAAAAATGAAAAACATTCAGAATAAAGGTAGAAAAACAAATATCATTCTAACCCTCCTTCAGAGATTTTGGAGAAGAAGCTAAAGAAGTCTTCTGCTTCTTGTTGCCCATTGGCGGCCAAAGTAAGTGGAGCAGAAGATTAGAGAGAATTGAGAGAACGGCGGTAGCGCAGGTTGTGCTGCAAAGGAAAGACCTAGACTGCTTATTTAAGCTTTTTATTTTATTCTTAATTATAGTTTGGGCTTTTGGGCTTTTACTGGGCCATGATCATACTAAATAAAGATCACTTATATTTATTATGCCGTCAACATAAAGAAGGATAAGTACACAAGAAACTCTCTCCTCTCCGATTAAAACCATTGTCTCACTCACAACCACTTCTTCTTCCTCCGGCGTTATCTCCACCGTCTTCTTCTTTCATCTCAAATTCAAAAACCCGTCCTTTATCTCCTCTCACTCCTCCTTCATTCTCTACTACACCATCCAAACTCAAACCACCACCACCGTCGCATCAATCTGGATTCTACTACTCTCCGGGACCTTCTTTCCGATCATCTCCTCGTGCTTTCTCAGAAAGGTGGCAGCTTCACCGTCCAAACCGGGTCAACCCCGAATCCGAACCAAGACGCGATTTTGCTGTTGCTGGGCTCGGGTGTTTCCCGTCGCCTAAGTTTAGGTTGAGGAAGAACAAGAATCGCGGTCGGAGAAAAACCGGGTCTAGATCGGAGAATGAGTACTTTTCCGATATGGAGACGATGTCGCCGTGGGCTGGTTCTAGCCGGAGATCGGTTTCTCCTAGATGGGAGTCGCCCAAGTCGTCGTTTTCTTCGCTTCGATTCTCGCCACGTATTGCTAACGAAGCTGAATGGGTCGGGTTTGGGCTCTTTTGAGCAGATTTTTCAATGAATGGGCTCGAGATTGGTTCTATAAGCCATCCGAACCACACAAAAGCTTGAATTCGCTCAAATGAAATTAAAGCAGATATTTGGGGGCTTGAATGGCATATTCTAAAGTTTTGGGTGCGACATTTAATCTCAATAGAGTTTTTCACATCTTTGTAATATATATGAAAAAAAGGATGTCAAAAGAAACACAAATCCTAAGTTTGAAGTTTTGAGTGTTGGAAGAAAGAACGTAAGATGTTAGATGTGAAAGTGAAATTTAGTTTTCTATATAGAAAGAATTTTAAAAATAATGACTCATAAATATGACCTAGAAGACCAAATTAAAGGATATATTTCAACAAAAAACTTGGAACTGGATAGTGAAATCAACACAAAAAGTTTGAATTGTAAGATCAAATCATTAGAAAATTAAATCGACCAATATGATTAATGGCATGAAATCATATATCACATTACATGAGATCAAATAAGCACATGAACAAAACCTACGAAACATTAGTTCCATACATTCTCATAAATGTACATAAAGGGTTTTGATGTATTGTGTACTCATAATGAATGAGCAAGAGTGGTGTTGCACCAAACATCAGCACAAAGAGGGGATAAAAATGTACTGATAATAATACTTACCTTACGTTTAAGGAGGCTAAGTCTCAGTAAAAATTTGCAGCTCTCGCACTTGCTTTGGTTTTAGCTTAACATCTGCAGCAAGGTCGGGAAATGCCTCTATTGGTTGAGTTTCTCATGTACTCGCTTGACCGTTTTAGCTTCCGTTTCATCGCATAGTGTGTATCATGTTTGTCTCGGCCCTCTCCGTGTCTTCCCAAATCACAGTTTCATCTAAGCTTAAAGGCAAAGAGACTAAGAACTGAGTTGCGTAAGTTAAAGTATAATAACAACTCTGAAAATCATGTTTAAAAAATGTAGTAATTCTGTTCATCAAAGCCATTTGAGGCCATATGCTTCTCCATGGTTAAATCCACTTTTTTCTTCGATCACTTTCGGCAGAGTCTTCTGGAGTCTCTTTGTCTTCTCCTCAAGCTTCGAAAGAGCAAGAGAAATCGACCAAAGATCTTTTCTATAGAGAAATAAAATTT